GGCCTATATGCTGCCCCCGTTCTGCTGCGACTACGCACAACAAGGACCGCGCAGCGTGCACTTGCGCAAAGTCTCAGCGCTACCTGCTCCTCGGGTTCAATCTGCTTAGTGGATGCAATACCGTGGGGCGCACGTCTCGGACCTTCATCAAACTTAGCGCACAGTGGCGGTGCTTCTTTTTGTTGCGCTTGGGGCCTCTGGATGTTGAAGCGCCGCGCACTACTCGCGTTTCGGCCTTTTGCCGACCGTTTGCCAAGCCGTCCTTGCCTTCTTCTAGCACATATTTGACGAGCGTGGTCAATGACTGCAGCACCTGTCTGCTCCGGTCTCTGTGTGAATAGAACTGCGCGACGCACTCGCTTCCCTCTCTTTGGTCTGTCTGGTGGAAGATCTATGCACTTGGATGCTTTTCTTCGTGTGTGGCGCTTGCGCTAATGCTGACCCGACACAGTGTGCCACTCACCTGGTGGCTGGCTGCGCGTCGTGCTTGTGTGCCCGCGTGTAGTCTGCATGCGGTGCATGCAACTCGCCGCGTTCTGCCGCAGCCGTGGGTTTTTTTCAAACAAAAAGTTTAGCTCTGGTTCTGTGAACTCATGAAAAAGCGCAAAGACAGTGGCTGAGTGAACAAATCATGTACTTAACGTGCCTCGTCGTTGAGAGAGCGACTGCCAAGTCATACTGAATCTGTTTCGCGTTTCGCATCGCGTCACTTTCTAGCAACTGCACTCAATAGCATGCTTTGCCAGGGTTTTTTTGTTCTTGTTTTCAAGTAGTTTTGATCCATTCAATTGCAGGGAAAAGATGCGCTTCCTCAGCTTTGCTTCATGTCTGACAGTTGTCGCTGGCTATACAGCGTTCAACTCACCGACTGCGCCGGGTAACTATGGCCTGCCTGCTGAGAAACCTGAGTTTGGCGGTGAAGTGGCCCACACCTTGCCGGAGGTTAACGTGCGCTACCACTACCCTGCATTTGATGCAGCTTCCGCTATGTCAGCAATGGAAACTGGTTTGGCGTTGGATAGCCGCATCGCAGCTGCGGCTCAGGAACTGCGCAGTGACAAGGTAGGCCTTCCCGTGATTCCTAGATATATAATGCCGTGGCATGACGTTGGTTTTTCAGCGGGCTTCTAAATACTAGAAAACTTAACCAATTCAGGCACTCTTGGCGGCGCTAACTCCGTCCAGTTTTCTGCGCAAAGGTGACGCAATTCTTGGGGCCATGGGCGGTCTTCCTGTTCCGCCGCAGCC